CTTGTCATGCCAGCGGGCGCTAGGGGAAACAGTGTCTCCCCCAAACCCTTCTGGTCCCTGTTGGTGCCCCTCACTCCCAACACACATCTCCCACCTCCCCAGCCCTGCTGGTTCCCCTCAGTCCCAAGCTGCTGCCCCCCACCCTTGCCAGTGTGCCATATGGTTGGCTCACAGCGTGCCACCGTGGTTGGCCACTTGCCCATGGTGGCACCATTCAGACTTGAATGATTAAGCTCTGCTGAGTCAAGAGAATTCAGAACTGATTTGGCCCAAGGTACAAAATTAAAAAAAAAAGTTTGTATGACATATAAGTAGATGGCAAATGTGTGTTATTGAGTACCTGTGCTAAAACTTGCAGCAGTTTCAACAACAACAACAACAAAAAGGTAACATGCATCAACTTGGATGAACTAAATGCATGGGTAGTATATACAAATTACTACAGCTATGTATAATTTCAAGGTTATTGTTTTCAAATTTGCTCATCACTTCTACATGCTTAGGGTAAGCAGGGTCTGACAGTAAGGAAATGGGAAAGTTGTTGGGTGGGGAGTTGGGGTGAAGTAAAGAGCGTAGGGGCTACCTGACCCCCTATATTTGTTTTCCCTGCTGTAGCAGTAGGAGGGGGACAAATTCAAAGTGAACCTCCAATAATTCAATTCTATATCTAAAAACTTATAAAAGATATATAATTTTTCTATATACAAAATCTAATTATTGGGGACTGTCATATAATTAGGGTCCTTTTTTATTTGAGTAAATACAGCGATTTCCAGTTTACAGGTTGCTCTTGTATTAGTTTCATTTTCCCTGGTTATATTTTAAGAAATAGGTTTAGTTTCATTTCCTCTTGTTACATTTTAAGAATAGTAGTGAATGTGGTTGCAAGCCAGATGCAGGAAAAGAAACCCAGTATATTTTGTACAGTTACTTCTGTGGTTTCATTTCTTCTGTTTCTGGTCATCAACTATAGGTGGAGTCTAGCAACTAAGAGGAAGAAACAGCTATTAGAAAGCAGTTTTCCCTTGGTCCAAAGCATCAGACAGGTAAGAGTTTCTCTTTCTCCTTTTTAAGGTAATTATTTAAAAGTCTGTGAATGTATTGAATTTATCCTTTTTGCTACTTATATGTGCATAAAAAGTAGACACTGCTTGGGAGTCTGAAATAAGAGAGTCTGAAATAACATTGTTACCAGGCAAAGGATTTGTCTTTGTGCCTGGAATACAAACTATCAGTATCTCCTCCAGCCTCATAATTCAATATACACTCGGGTCTCTCTTTATGCAAATTCATTTATATGCGACATCCTTATTTATATCACAAACTCGCTTTGTGCCAGCAAAGTGAAACATTGTGGGAGGGTGAGTGAGGCGGGCATGCAATTCCATCACGCACTTGCCTCAGTCTCGCATCATCCATTGTGCTGTGCAGTGCTGTGCTACTTGCACACCTATTGTGGTGCGTCTATTTGGCTTTATTATTGAATTTAGTGAAATGTCATCTAACCAACTTTCTAGCGCATCTCCTAACCCCCCTCCTGAGCCAGCCATGAAGTGAAAAAGCAAGCTGGTATGTATCCCTGTTCATTGCATGTAATAATGGATTTGCTTTATGCAAGGCTTTTTTGGAACAGCCGTCACAGAGAGAGACCGGAGTGTAGTCATTGCTTCCTCTTACTGGAGGTGCAAGTGAATGTTCGGTATGAGGATGTGTATGCTAAGGGGATTAGCATCTCAACCTGGCTACCACAAAGGATCAAATTTCAGTTAGAACAAGGGGCAGGGACTGATCTTTGTTAACTCTTCCTACGCCTATCTTATCCATTCAGTCCATCCAATGAAAGAAATTGCCCATAGAAATTCTTGCCTCTAACTTACAGCAAGTAAAAGCTAAACAGAGGTAATTTAGCCCTCTACCATTCAGGCTACATGGATGTCTACAGAAGTTGCTTTTTTGCCATTTAAAGTGCTTTATCACCATGGCTTAACAAAAGCACATGGCTTTCATTTAAGAAAGGTTAATTTAAAGCACTTTAAAATGGGTGCAGTGCTTTAAATTAACCTTTCTTAAATGAGTTATTAAATTTGAAACACTGGATTTTACAGCACTTTAACAACCTACAGTGCTTTAAATAACTTCTGTACACTGGTCAAATTTCTGCCCAGTGGAGAAGCCCCAGGAGGCTGTGGAGTGCCCCCTGCCACCTATCCAGAAAAGTGCAAGGCGGCTTAGAGACCACACCTCAACCAAACTTGCCCTTCTTTCATGTTTAAGAGCACTGTAACTTTATACTGCTATAAAAAAGTGCTCTAAATTACAGCACTGCTCAGAAGGTGAATGTTGTAGCTATATTGATCGCGAAGAAGAGGCAATCAGGACTCGTAGTAGAGATGATATCTTTTATTAGACCAACAAGATTTGTGCAAAAAATTAATTAAAGAAATTTTTTTGCAAAAATCTTGTTCTAATAAAAGATGATATCTCTGCTGTGAGTCCTGATTGGCAGGGGGATTAGCATTTCAGCCTGGCTACCACAAAGGATCACATTTCAGTCAGAACAAGGTGCAGGGACTTGCTATAAAGGTGCTTGTGTTGGTAACTCTTCCCAAATCTGCCCCAACCATGCAGCTGGTCCAGTGAAAGAAATTACCCACAGAAATCTTTGCTTCTAGCCCACAGCAGATGAAAGCTAAACAGAGGTAATTTAGCCCTCTACCATTCAGGCTACTTTGCTCCAGAGAATCTTTTATTCTTATAGGCAGAGGAACAGTTAGAGCAAGTCACCTGCTGAGCTGTAACCCCTCTCCCCCACTTAACTCAATTTGATCCTTTGTTCCTAACTGTTTTCAGTGCTGAGAGAACTGCATCAGTCCACTTCATGCCAGTTGTGTGAAATGTTAAGTTATGAAATGGGATGCAGGCTTATAAAGGATTGACATGAAAACTCATTCAAGGAATGACTGAATTTGAGGACAGAAAGGCTTTATTTACTACATCTATTCACTGGTAAATAAGCCTAAAACAAAGTCCACTATACCTAGCTGTAAAAGTGGTGGTATTTCATTAATACAGGAAAAGAGGTGGTGTCAGTTTTGTCAGCTTCTTAAGGGTTGGATCTGTTAACCAGAAGATCATCTGGGCGCAGAAGCAGTTTTTGTCAGAGTGATTTCTCATTCTTGAAGTGCACCCTGTTAGCGACTTGGTTCCTTTTTTATACCCTTCAGCTCAGCATCTTCAAAGCTTTTTTGTAGTTGTGTAAATTAAGTGAGAAACCCAAGCAGTAATTAACAAGAAAATCCTATTAATCAAACTGTTCATTATTGGTTATCAGAAAGTCACAGTTTTGATTGAATTAACCTCCTGTTACCAAGGAATATATCGGTGTGTAGTTATCAAAAGACAAAGGAGTTAAGCGATAAAGTTTGTGTATTCAGATTGCGGTGCTCAGCTTACTCTTCTGCTGTTCCCTCCTGCAATCCCTGGGAAAGTGTAGTACTTTGTACATAACACTCCTAAAAGTATCTACATAATCTGTTTCTACTAATTTGGGACATAACAAGAAATTGATTAACAACTGGGAAAAACACAAAGGTTTTGAGGAGTTATCCTTGAAAGATCAAGGGAACCACTGAGGCAAACAAAAGTAAATCAGGAGGAAATGCCTATCAAAACCCATATGGGAAATGTCCTTCCTACACATAAACATGAGTTAATTGCAAAGAGATATTTACTATAATAATTAATCAAGAATAGACATTTCACACAGTCACATACCAGACACATAGAAGCCTGCTTAAAATCAGCATAGGTAAGATAAGCTGGATGTGATGCCTCATTATTTCTTTTCAAAAGATCCAGCCGGAAACTTACATCCTCCTGCACTATGCAAATGTCATCAATATTTTATATTTTAACTTTTGTGAGTAGGCCCAGCTCAACTTAAGCTTCACAGTCATCAGAAGTTAGAAAGGATTACAGAGGGTATGTCTACACATGCCATTAATGTGCAGCAATAAACTCCACACCTTATTGCTTCCAGGAAGCTCCCGGGTGCACACTTGGCCCACAGCACATTGAGCCAAGTCAGAGCAGCCCTCACTGGCAGGAGGCCCATGAGGGTGGTCAGCCTGCCAGCCTGGGGCTGCTCTGACCAGTCTCCATGTGCTGCAGAGCAACTGGCTAAAGCATGAGGGTGCTTCAGCATAGGGCTAGCGAGCAGACAGCCCCCACACTGAAGCACCTTCATGCCTCAGCCATGTGGTCAGGGTCTTTACTTGTGCTGCTGCAGAGTAAAAAAACTCTGCAGGCGGGTAGGAGTTGTATTTACAAATACTGCTGTGGAGTTTATTTGTTTCCTGTGCCCTAATAGAAGTGCACATTTAGACACTAAGATGTTTACTGCTGAGCTAATTAGTCAGCTCTGCAGTAAATGTGTAGTGTAGATGCACCCACAGAGTGCAGGGATTAAAGACCATAGTTCTGAAGCAGTCACCACAGTATTGCAGGAGGAAGTCTGTGCCTTCGTTGGGCTGGACAAAAATTGAATTTGGATTATATTCAGGAAAGTGGGTGTATGAAAACTGCTCCTTTCTCTGACAGACATAAGTTATATTAGTATTGAATGACAGAGGTATGAGCTGTTCCAATGTGCCCCTACAGTGATACAAGCATTTTTTTCAGGGTTAAAGTTGCGGTGATTTTTAACTCATTTGTATTGCAAGACAGGTTACATCAGGGGTCAGCAGCTACCCAGAACCTGAGCCGGCTGCAAACATCTGCTGCCTCTGCACTCCAGCCCCAGGCTCCAGGAAGGCAGCAGATACCGACAGTACTCCCTGCTGTGCTGCCCTCACCGCTTCTGTAGAGCAGCTTTGGAACCCAGTGCAGCAGGGCACAGTGGGAGGCTCAGAAAGCTGCCTGCTCCCAGCTCCCCACTGCCTTGCCACACTTCCCCTGCAGGCGGGGGAGCAGCAAGGGGCACAGCCCTGCACTGCTGATCCCATGCACACAGGGGAAGTGTGGCAGGGCACCTAGGAGCAGGCAGCTTTCTGAGCCCCCTGCTGTGCCGGGTGCCAACACTGCTCTGCAGAAGTGGCGAGGGGAGTATTGCTGGTATGTGCTACCTCCCCGGGGCCGGGGCAGAGTGGCAGCAGATGTTTGCAGCTGGCCCAGGTTCTGGGTAGCTGCTGATAGTCACAGAGCCCAGGGTGGGGAGCAAGGGTGGGGAGCAAAGGCTTTGGGTGGGAGGCAAGGGGCACAAGCAGGGCATCCTTCCATGTACCCCCTGCCCTCCTTTTGTTTTTCTGGCATGCCAGCACTCCGGCACCTTCTAAGGTAGGCACTCTTGGGGGGTGGGGGGTTTCTGCACTCCAGCCAAAAGATGTTGCCTACCCCTGGGTTACATCATAACAATGAATATCCACCCCTGAGCAGCAGCAGCTTCCCCTCCCATTTTGGAATGGAGAAACATTAGGTCTCTCCATAAAGCTCATATTTTGTACCCAGTGCTCCTTTTCTTAGGAAGATAGGTAGACAAGAGTGACAAGGCTTCTATTCAGGGTCATGAAAAGAGGTGTTGATGCACAACATTATTTACAGGCACTGAAATCAGTGGGTACTATGTAATGTGTGGTACAAACACCTATTCTGGGTACCTTGAAGAAATGCCTGGATGCTTATCTTGCTGGGGTGATCTGGCCCCAGCTGACTTCCTGGCCCTTGGGCAGGGGGGCTGGACCCAGAGATCTCACAAGGGCCCTTCCAGCCCTAATGTCTGTGAAATCTTTGAAAGCTTAGCTGATTTCCTTCACTGGCATAGAAACATAGAGAGGCTGTGCTGCAAATGCCAGCCCCTTATCTGGGTTAGCAAGCAGCAGGGGTGGAGTCCAGTGTTAACTCTTTCACAGCCCCTACTGAATTAAAGTAGCTTTTGGCTGAGCAGCTAAAAAACTGCTATCAGTATGTCAAAGGGTGGACTCGGCCCATGCTGACTGTTGCCTGAAAGAGAAGTGACAACCATTTTGGCTCTCCATGAAAAAGCCAGATCTAGTCCATGACTAGAAACCTCTTGTGTCCTACATGCTGCCTTCCAAAAACAAGATGCATGTCCTGTTTGGGGGAACGTGTCACATGCAAGCGAATATCGTGTTAAGAAAGCCCTTACACTACCATGTTTCAAAGTCATGACTTTCCTCACTGTACCATCTAAGCTCATCTTCCCCAGGTTCTCATACAAGATATCATTCAAGACAATGATTCTCTTAGTGCTGATATGATAATGATGCTTTTTCTACCAGACTGAGGGAAGAGTGGGACATGAAAGAACAAACACTAAAAATAATAAGATGTGGAAGAAGGTTATTTCTTTTCAAGGGGCAAAAGAAGGACCTGGTTGGTAGTGGGTGATGAAAGATGGGAGATTTGACATTAAATATGATGACTTGCCTCTCCACTGCAGTAGAGGAGGCAGTTAGCCATGTTAGTCTGAAGTCAGGTAGAAGGCAAGGCAGGGTGGTACATTAACAGCATTCTAGTTTTCTCTGATTAAAAAAAAAATCCCAGTTTTCAGATTTAAAAAAGTAACCCGAAATCCATTTTTCCATGATTAAAATGAAACACCGCTAATATGTATAGATATGTAGATATAGTGGTGTTTCATGAAAAAATGCAGATTTGGGGTTACTTTTTTAAATCTGAAAATTGGGGATTTTTTTTTAATCGGAGAAAACCAGGATCCCTGCACATCAACAGATGCTGGCTTTAAGGTGCCCACCTGCCCTGCCTTTCATCTGCCCCCTTTCCAGAGGCAGGAAAGGGAAGACAATGCTGAATTACTCCAAAATGTTTTGGGAATACTGCAAATGTCTTTTGAAAACAAAATTTTGGGACTCCTATAGCTGTGTGGGGAGCCTGCTCCAATGTACTGGAAATCTAGTGTGTTAGAACAGACTCAATTAGTCGAGTCTGCTGGATCACAGAAATTGATGCGCTCCAGCACCCATCCATGTCACATGTATCAGTGTCCCTATGGGTCCCTGGGCTGAAAAAAACGGGTAACAGGGCACTTTGAAATAAAACACATTCAGCGAGCTTTAGTTCAAAGCTCCCCACTGCCATTTTTTCAGCCTGGGGACATGCAGGGATACTGATGCACATGACGCACTGGTGCTTTTAATTAACACAGCTCACTAAAGTGCCCAGTGCTGCATCCCAAAACACATGTAAATATGCCTTTTGGTTTCCAGTTTTCCATTAAAAAAAATGTCACACTGTAGAAAATTTGGGGGGGAAAGGAAAATATTTCAATCCCCTTTACAACACAATTGCTGTTATTTAGTGTTGTTTAAACAACTTGGCAAACAAATGCAGCAAAAATAAAGGGCTAGTACCTCAATTAATGTAAATTGGTACAGACCATGGGTCGGGTCTGAAAAGATCTGTGACAATTTCTACCAGATGTGGAGTGGCCTTATTAAATAACAAGAGTGTTTTGCCTTTCACCATTGCTGTTACGATTGCAAGCTGAATCCAGTCAAATTTATGTATGATTTCAGGAGCTGCGCAGAAGAGTTGTTGCTGTCAATTACTATTTTGTGAAAATTTTATGCACAAGTCCCACAGCTGCTGTATACGTTCAACTGACAAGCAAAGAAGAAGAAAGCAGAGAGTGTCAAATCGTTCCAAGCCAATTATGCAGGCACCCTCTGGATTCTCTTTTATACCACCAAACCCAGTATTTACAGGATTTTCAACACAGCCAAAGAACGATATTCCAGTGACAGTTTCAGCACTGCCAAATGTGCTTTGTACATCTGCAAACCAAGCAAACTCAATCTTTGGAGTCCCAGGTGGGTTAAATCCGGGTCTGAATGTACAGCCTCTACCACAGTCAAAAGCAACTTTGCCAGCACTGTTCCCGCCAAAGTTGAAAGAACCTGAACCAGTAGCACTGCCTCTGTCAGCAACCTCACCATTCTCAGGGAGAGATGAAAACTTTCACTATATTACAGATAAAGTGCAGCAGCTGGAACTTGATAAAAATCATCAAGCAGCGGAAAAGCAACAAGAGGTAATGTATCCTTACCACGAAGAACAGAACAAGGCAGGTCAGATTCCTAGTGCTTGAGGGTGAACTGACATGGTCTTTGAACTTTGTCTTCAGAGGCTATAGTTCAAGATCAAATTTTTGGGAGCCAGCAGGGGTATAACAAGCTAGTACTGCACCCAGGGCAGCCCCTTGTCTCCCCCTCTCCAGCCTGTATCCTTGCAGTGGATCTGATGGCAAGAAGGGTAGAGCAGTGACAGTGGCATAGGAACAACTGCTAAGAGAGATGTCACTTTATTTTCTTGCCCCCGACACTCATGTCGGTGAACATTTAAATGCCAGTTTTCAGCAGCAAAAACATGAGGTGACATCTCCCAGTAGCAGCAAACCATCAGCTGCTACTATTGTACCACTGTCTCTGCTCTGCCTTCCCCACTGCTGGCACTCAAGACACTGCAAAGAAGGCAGGTGGAGAACGGAGATTGAGGACGAGGGTGAGACACCGCCTAGCTTCATTCTAGCCCCCCAGGGTATGAGACTGTCCCACTCACACCCCATTGTTACACTACTCATAGCCAGTATCATTTCTGAAGAAAGTATTTTTAGGCACAGATCAGTTCTCTTCTATTCTGATTGTAGTGGAGAAATCAGCACACAATCTTTAAATGCTTGTCCTGGGTGAGTAAATTCTGTCAACTTCTCTTGTACTCTGTACCTGCATCAATGTAAGCATAAGCATTCCTATTCACAGAGTGGAGTGACTGTGCCTACATTTCATTTGTAGATGTAAAACATGGGAACTGAAAAAGCAGGAGGACCACAGCCTGACTGCAACTTTGCCGTATAGCATTTATGCCATTGAGTATTCACATTAGGAAACTTGAAACGGAAATCCCATGACAGGGTTTTTACATAAGGTTTCAATGTATTAAGTAAAATAGCAATTCTCAACCAGGGTGCCATGGCATCCTGGAGTGCCACAACATCCTTTTAAGGATAATACACAATATTAGCACAGTTAGGTATGCCAGGACCTACAGATGGTAAACCCAGAGATTTCAAATAGGAATCTATAGTTTTTGAGTACTTTGCAATAGAATTGCTCAATTATTTTTTGGTGCTCTTACAGTGAAAGTGTAAAATGAGTGAAAGCTAAGAGCAGATATTTTCCAAGGGGCTTGAGCCTAAAAAGGCCAAGAATCACTGCAACAGAAAATGGTAGAAATAAAAAAAAAAAAAAAAAAAAAA